ATCCCACGTGCTACAACTAAGAGAGCCCACATGCTGCAACTAAAGATCCTGCGTGCCACAACTAAGATCTGGTGCAGCCAAATAAATAAATTATTTAAAAAAAAAAAAAAAAAGAAGAAGTCAGGAAAGGAGGTACAGAGCCAGAAAAGAAAGGGAACAAACAAAATAGTACAACAGCAGACCTAAATATAGCCATATCAATACTTTATATCAAATGTTAAAGGACTAAACATTCCAGTTAAAATTCAGAAATTGTCAGAATGCCAGAAAAGCAAGATCCAGCTATATAAGTTGTCTGCAAGAGATACGTTAAATGTAAAGGTACAGACAAGCTGAAAGTAAATAGATGGAAAAAAAAGATATACTATGCAAATGGTAAGCATAGGAGGGCTGGAACAACTATACTAATCTCAAATTAAGACAACTTCAAAACAAAGAGCATTATCAGAGAGAAAGATGGATGTACATCAGAGACATGACAATCATAATACGTGTGTACCTAATAACAGAGCTTCAAAATACATAGACAAAAATTGATGGAACTTAAGGGAGAAACAAAAAAATCACCATCGTAGATGGAGATTTTTAACACTCCTTTCTTGGCAATTAATAGAACTATTAGACAAAAAAAAAATCAGTAAAGACATATAAGATCTAAAAAACATTATCAGTCACCTTTACCTAAGTGACATTTACTTACATGACAGCACTGTGCCCAATACATGCAGAATATGTATTCTTTTCAGGAGCACGTGGTACATGCACCATGATAATTCATATACTGGGTCATAAAATCTCAATAAATTTAAAAGGATTAAAGTTACACAGAGTATGAATTAAAGGGGAATGAAATTAAACTAGAAATCAATAAGAAAAAGATATTTAGGGAAATCTCAGATATTTGAAAAATTAACACATTGAAATAATCCATATGTCAAAAAAGAAATCAGGGAAATTAGAAAGTATTTCAAAGTGAAAGATAATGAAAATATAACAGCAAAATTTGGGCAGCTGCAGATAAAGAAGTGCTAAATGTTTATATTAGAAAAGAAGAAAGGCTAAAATCAATGACGCTAGAGGTTAAATCAAAAGAACCTAGAGAATGAAGAACAAAGTAAACCCCAATTAAGTAGAAATCAAGGAAACAGAAAATAGAAAATATTACGCCAACAAATTTGACAGCTGGAATTAAATTAACAAATTCCTTGAAGCAATGAATCTGGTACTATATAAAACTTGGAGTAAACTAATTTTTTAAAGACAGCGCAGGAGTAACAACTCCTGAGTAACAACTCAAAATGTTGGAGAAAAAAAAAGGTATGGTGTGGGGGGAAAAACTATTTACAAAAACTATAAAGTGCCTAGGAATAAACCTAACAAAAGATAAACAAGCTCCTTGCAGTGAGAATTATAAAACTTTATTGAGAGACTTTTTAAAAGACCTAAATAATTTGAGGCTATAAAATATCATTGAAAAGGAAATGGACTCCATATTGTAAAGATGACAGTTCTCTCCAAATTGATCTATAGTTTCAATGCAATTATGATTCCAAAGGGTAATGTAATGCTAGACTGTACATGGAAGAGCAAAGGGCCTAGTAGAGTCAAGATATTCTTGAAGAACAAGATGTGGAGGATTGCTCTAAAGATATCAAGGGTTTATTACAAAGCGATGGTAATTAAGACACTGTTGAATTGGCCCAAGATAGCAAATAGACCAATCTAACTGAATAGAGAGCTCCCCCAAAGTTGTGTGTATTTATGAAAACTTGACTTGTGACAAAGCAGGTACTGCATAACAGTGAAAAAAGGACAACTATTCAATATATGGTGTTAAGAAAACTAGTCATTCCATACAGGGAAGGAGAATGAACTTGAGTCTTTTTTCACACCATAAAAACACACAAATCAATTCCACATGGATGAAAGATTTAAATGTGGAAGCAAAAATATAAAACCATAAAATGTATAGAACTGGGACAGGAAAGGACTTCTTAAACAAGATGTAATATGTGTAAACCAGAAAAGAAAACATTGATAAACTTGACTACATTAAAATTAAGGTATCACAGAGAGTAAAAATACAAGATACAAATTGGGAGGAAATATTTATAATATTTACAACACCTACTACCCATAAGAACATTGCTTTCTAGAATATAAAAGAAGCTCTTCCAAATCAGAAAAAAACCAACTAAACCAATTTTTTTAAAGGGCAAAGAATTTAACAATCCTTTTACCAAAAGCTAGAGATCCAAGTTGGGCCAAGCAGAGACTGGGATTAGGCAGGGTGGTCTTGAGGCAGAGGTGGTGGTGAAAGGGCCAATGCCTTAAACAAGACAAAAAAGCAAAAACTAGACAAAGAAAAGATTGATAATTTAGACCACATTTAAGTTTAGAACTTGTTCAACAAGACACCATGCAGAGTAAAAAGCCAGGATTATTGCTCCAGCAATGATCCATAAACCATATAAAAACATGTCCAATTTCACTGGGGAAATACAAACTGAGGCCACAATGAGATACCATATCACACTGCTCTGGTAAGACCATACTCAGTTTACTGGTGAGGATGTGACAAAAAGGCATCCCTTGCCCTCTACTAGAATGATAAACTGGTAAAAAGCACTTTGTGAAGCTTTGGCACTACCTAGTCCAGGTGAAGTTAAACATATTCTACAACTCAGTAATTCCACTCTGTAGAGACATTCTTGCACATGTGCCTTAGAAATTATGAACAAGCATGCTCATAGCACACTATTTGTAACTGCAAAAATCTGAAAAAACTGAAACGTTTATCAACAATGAAGTGGATTCATATGATGGAATGCTATACTTAATACAAATGAATGAAATATGATTACATGCATAAAAATATGAAATAAAAAAAAATAAGAAAGCAAATGACCCAATTTTAAAATTGGGCAAAAGTAAAATAAAATAGGGCAAAAATAAAATAAAATTGGGCAAAATTTGAACATTTTACCGAAGACGATATACAGATAGCAAGTAAGCACTTAGAAGATGCTCAACATCATTAGTCATTAGGGGAATGCAAAGGGATAAACTACAATGGGATACATAAGATACTTATTTAGAAAGACTAACATTAAAGTCTGACTAAACCAACTGTTGGAGAGAATGTGTAGGAGCTAGAACTCTCATACACTGCTCGTGGCAATGTAGAATGGTACAACCCCTTTGGAAACCAGTTTGGCAGTTTGCTAATAAGTTAAATATACACTTACTATGTGATCCAGCCTTTCCACTCCTAGGTATTTATTCACCCAAGAGAAAAAAAGCCTATGTCCATACAAATGTTCTCAGCAGCTTTATCTGTAATAGCCCCAAACTGAAAGCAACCTACATGTCCATCATCAGTGAATGGATAAACAAACTGTGATATATCCATCCATCTATCTATCTATCTATCTATCATCTATATATATATATATAATATAAATATCAATAAAATAAATGGAAAAGTACTCAGCTATGAAAAAGAATGAAATCTTGCCATCTGCAACAATATAGATGGACCTAGAGGATATTATGCAAAGTGAAGTAAGTCAGAGAAAGACAAATATTGTATCATTTTACTTATATGTGGAATCTAAAAAAGAAGTGAGCAAACTTAAGAGAAGTAGTCATAGATACACAGAAAAAACGGGTGGTTGCCAGAGGGGAGGGGGACGCGGGGATGAGAGGAAAACAAGAGGAAATGGAAAGATCAGACAGAAAAGCTACTGTTTATTACCCTAATCATATTTGTGCTTATTAATAAACAACTGGTTGCCCTATCTTCTCACAACAGCCTTGAGGTATAGGGGCGTGGGGTAATTAATATATAGGGGACCAGTTAGGGGACAGTTATCTTCCTTGCACTCTTTTCCTCTAGAAGATCATAGTAGTTTCTCCCTTCAAAGCACTTACATATAATTTTCTTCCTTACCTTCTTTACTTGGTTACTGTCTTTATTAACTATTAAAATGTAAGGTAAATACCTTATATGTTGTTATCGGCTCCTCATTTTCTTTGACAACACATACAAGTTTGAAATAACAAAGGTCTTGGAATCTCACTTTTGATCACCGCGCAGAGCAAGCAGGGAATTCTGTGCACTTCCCACGTAATTTAAGAGCCAAACGATTTTAGGTTTCAGTCGGAAGAGGTCTGTGCTCCAGGATTAGCCCTTAGATGAGCGACGCATCTTCTCTGCAACTTCATCAGTGAATTTTTATTCAAAAGATCAAGGAATGTGGTGCCTACTTCACCTTCCACAACAGCCACTGCAAAACACGCTCGTTGGTTTGTTTTCTTTTCTTTTGTTTTTGTATGTTGGCTTTATCTATTTCCCTCATCCCCGACGCCCGTTCAGCAGTCTGTCTTGCGTAATCATTTACCGTAGCGCTAAAGACTGTTAACACTAATTTATTAAATTTGTATAATTCTCTGTCTTAAACTCCTGGGGACGCCCCGACGGCCACTGACTCAAGGAAGGGAATATTAACATATACACTTTAAGCTCGGGATTTCCACACCCCTCTCCCCGCCCCTGAGGAAATATCACGCCCTACGAGGACACCGCTACTCTGCCTTTAATAAACCCGCCGCGGCCTTCCCGCCTCGCCCCGGGGCGCGCACTTCCGGCCGCAGGGGCGCTCGGGAGTTCGCCCCGCGAGCCTCCACCAACCAAAGGCTCCGCCTCGCCGGTGCGAGTGCGCGCGCGCACATTTGTGCGCAGGTTCGAATCTCAGCAGCTTCGTGGCTGCCTCTCAGCGTCCGGCCGCATCTCCGCGATCGCGAGGGCAGCGTGCGCGGGCTGGGCCACACCGGCCGCCCCGCCCCCTCCGCCCTCTGCATCTTCCAGCCGCAGCCTCGCCCGGACTCTGTCCTCGCCCTTCCTAGCGCGCTGCGCGCTCCGCCCTCGCCCCCGCCCCCAGAGCCATCGGCGCTCGGCCTCCCGCGCCCGGCGGGCTCCGCCCGAGCCTTCGGGGCCCATGGCCAAGCGGCGTGCGGCCGAGCCCCTGACGTTCCACGTGCCTTGGAAGCGGCTCCTGCTCTGCGACTTTCCCGAGGAGCCGCCGCGGCCACCGCTCTGGATCCCGCCGCCGGGGGCCTCGCATCCCGAGCAGCCCCTCGGCGTCCCGGAGCTGCCCCGAAAGCGTAAAATCGACGCAGGGGGTATGACTGAGCCTTTGGTTTCGCCCAGCAAACGCCGCGACGGCGGGGACACTGGCGCTCCGGACGGCGCGGAGCGTGAGGGCCGCGGCCTGGAGACTGGCGAGCCGCCGCTGTTGCAGCCGCCCGTGCGGCCCCGCGGGCCGGGGGAGGAGCCCCGGGGCGTTCGGCCCCCGAAGGGCGGTGGCGACGACGGGGCGGAGCGCGCAGAGTCCCTGCGGGGAGACTGGGGGGCCGACCCGCGCCAGGTAGGGGCTGGCGGTGGGCTGGGCGCTCCGGCGGGGGACGGGGGGCGGGGCCCGGGGTGAGGGGAAAAAGGATCATACTTTCACTGCGCGTCCCGGGAAGGAACCGATCGTTCCCCTCTAGACTCGTGTTCGTCACGACGCCCCAAAAGATGAAAAGCCGGGATCCTCGCCACAAGAAAGAACACCGACCCCCCACCCCAGGCAGCACACCAGGGGCCCCAGAGCCCACCTTTGGCAGCGTTTTGGGAGAGTCAGACGAGCTGAGAGCACTAAGCTAAACTAGGGGGAGACAGACCGCTGGGTGAGGTAGTAGTCGTGGCCTTGCACCTTCAGCATCTGTGCTGTCCTAGAGGGAAGCAGGGGCGTGGGTCATGACAGACTGTAGAACTTGGGGAAGATGTTGACCGTGAACCGCAGTAAGTTAAGCTCAGCGACAAACGTCAGAGAAAGATGTATTGCGTCTTCCTTGGTTTAACGATGATTTTTTTTCTGGAATAAGTGATCGATTTCTTTCTAAAGAGGGTGACGAATGTGGTAGCCACCAGTTGGACATCTTTTAGGCATGGTACAGCTCTTTTGGTTGAGAGGAAGGGCCTCCATATATTGGGAAAAGGCAGTGTTAAATCGGATCCTATGAAAAAGGATCGTTGTTGAGAATTAATTTGGTTCTTAAGATCAGCCGTCTGTATGAGGATCTTTGGAGAGTTCCTCTTCCTTGGGAAATGAGCCTGCCCTATCTCTGCACATAAGATCTGTCTAGATCTGTGCTATTCAGTGTGGCAGCCACTAGCTATGTGACACAACACCTAAAATGGGACTAGTCCAAATTGAGATGCGCTCAAAGTAAAATACACACTAGATTTCGAAGATCTTAAAAAATTGTATATTGAATACACGTTGAAATAATCTGGAGATATTGGATTGAATAAATTATATTAAAATTCATTTCACTTATTTCTTTTACTTTTTTAATATGGCCATCAGAAAATTTCGAATTACGTTTGTGGCTGGCATTTTGTATTTATTGGGCAGCGTTGGTCTAATCTTTGGAATTCAAGCTGCGATTTGGCAGTTCTGGGTTGAACCAGGAGCTTTGGGGTTGGAAGAGCCAAATGTAGAGCCCAGACTTCACCAAATTCTCTTCAATTACTCCATCATAGCATCCACCCCACAGTTTTCATTGTCTCAAGTATCTTATGCAGAATTTATCAGACACCTTGCCAATAAAATACAGTAGTTGGGAAAGATCTTTTTCTGTGGTCATGAGAAATTATCCTTTAGATATAATTATTATGATGAGCATTTCTGGATGAAACTATAAATTGTAAATGTTTCTACCCCCAGTTTTCTTGGAATTTAGAAAACATGATGCTTATTTAGATTGTTTTTTCTTCAGGCTGCTTTTAGATAGCACTTATGTTTTGAAAGTAGAATAAAGAATTAGAATTTCCAATTAAATCATGTCACACCAATGTGCAAAACCTGAAAAAACAAAAATCCAGAGTGACAGCCATCCAGACCTATTTGGTATGGAGATAAGTACTGTGTAGTTTGAAAACTTGGCCATTTTTGGTACCGGACCCATACTTAGGCTTGTCTTTGCTACCAGAATATACTGACTGCAGTATGCCACAAATTGATAAGAGGGACATGGAAATGGCAGGTAAGCAAAGGAATTTTTTAGTAAACTGACACAGACATTTGCTTAGAATCTCCTAGACACACCTGTGTCTTCTTCCACAGCAGTGACCACATCTGACAGCTCTCTGCTTCTTGTAGTCACTACAAGCCTGTGACAGGGAACAAGCTTGCCTCTAGGGGTTCCTTCTTCATCAAGACTAGTCCCCTGTTGTCTTTTGGCAAAAGCCCAGGAACCCTCATATTCCTTTCTTTTGTTCTGTTCCTTGAGCTGCTTCTTTGTGCAAACTTAATTTTCTCCAGCTTTCCTCTTTCTTTCCTTCCACCAAAGATGCATGGTTTTTGTTTTAAGGGTCTTACAGCCAAGGGAAAATAGGATATAGCAAAAACATGTAGAAGTTAAAAAGCTTTTTCACTTCATGCAGCAAATGTCTTCCTGGTTCCTGTTTTGCTCAGAATAGAGCTTAAGTCCCTACCCGTACCCTTGGGATCTCATTTGGGAAGAATTTCCTCAAATATGTCCTTTCTAGATTGAAGATGCAATCTAGGCAGAATTGTGATACCTATTTTTCTGTCCTAGAACCTCAGAATATTTGAGTCGTTTCAGGTGTGTGTTTGTTTTTTTTGCGGTACACGGTCCTCTCACTGTTGTGGCCTCCCTCGTTGTGGAGCACAGGCTCCGGATGCACAGGCTCAGCGGCCATGGCTCATGGGCCACATGCTGCTCCGCAGCATGTGGGATCTTCCCACACCGGGGCACGAACCCGTGTCCCCTGCATCGGCAGGCGGACTCAACCACTGCGCTACCAGGGAAGCCCCTCAGGTGTTTTTTTAACCGGAGAACTAAAATAAAGCCAGGTATTACTTCAATAAATATTCATGTATTTTCTCATGTTAGTGTCACTTTAGTGTCACTTTATGCAGATTGAATACTCTGTCAGTGCTGACCCTTACTGTTAAATACTTTAAACAGAAAGGAAGCAGAAATGTTGTGATTTTGGTTCATAGTGATATTGGTTTGTAAGCTTCTTGGCATATAATAACTAGCTATATTGGGCATTTATAGTGCTAAACTGTAATTTGCACAAGAGCCTTTCTGCTTTTTACCAATGATGAAAGAGACCTAGGTCAAGATCAGAGTTAGTGGGTGGAGGAGTTATCATGCAAGCACAGGTCTGTCTGGTGGCAAAGTCTGTGCTCTTAGCTACTAGGTTATACTGACCTCATTAAGGGTCTTTTCTGGTTTGTTCTTATAAGGAGATCATTTGAACAATAGTTTTCTTTTTTTCCAAAAGGCAGAGAAATAGGTCCTTGTTTTTAACCCTATTTACTTATTAAAATGAAGTTTTTCTTGGCATCCTTTGAGTTATTACATTTTTATCCCAGTGTTAAGGAATTCCAAAGAGACTCAATTCTCTAAGCCTTAGTGTCTAAGGCAGTGAATAAACTTATTATTGAGAAGACCTGTGCTCCGCATTTAAGTAACTAGCCACTTGTGGCTATTGAGCATTGAAATGGGCCTAGTCTGAATAGTGCTGGAAGTGTAAAATACCTGGCAGATTTTGAAAACTTTTAGTTAGACAAAAAGAATGTAAAATATCTCATTAATTTTTAAAAATATTGACTGCGTGTTGAAATGATAGTATTTTGGCTTTATTAGGTCAAATAAAATTTTAAGATTAATTTCACCTGTTTTTTTAACTTTTTTTTAACTGAAGTTACTAGAAAATTTTAAATTACATATGTGGCTTTCATTATATTTCTGTTGGTTAGTGCTGCTATAGCAAGTATGAACCTAAAGTACAAACAGAACTTGGTAGACTAAATATAGATATATAGATATCCATCTGGGAAAGGTGTTAACCTTCAAAATGGTCACTTTGGAAGCCTATATGTAATTGCAATGCCACTTCCTTTGCACAAAGTATTTTAATTTTGTGCCAGTTTTGAACTTCATTGGAATATCAACTTCATAGTTACTTGAAACAATTTTATAGCCTTTTACAGTAAGCTGTTGAACTTTGAAGGGGTCAGCCTTCACTTGGATTTATCAGTTTTGGTATCTTGAGTCATGTCTTGTACAAAATGGTATCTTTAATAAAATGATCAGTTTAAGATTTTCTTGTTATTTACTATGTTTTTATTCTAAGGCTTTTTAGAAGGTTGTCAAAATATTTTAGCCTACATCAAGTCAATCCCTTAAAATACCGAACATCAGGAAAAAGACCAAAAGTAAATTTTAAGATGTGTGCATGTGTTTTTTAAATAAATTGTTTTCCTCACTGAAAGTTAAAAAACTTTAAGACCATCTTCAGGCATTATTTTTTGGTTGAAAAATGGAAGAAAATTCTGGGAAGAGAAGCTCTTGGAGGAAATTCTTTTAAATTTAAACTACTCACAGGAAATACTTTCACCAATTCATGAATATTAAAATGCAGAGTTGACTGAGTCCATGAAGTACTTTGATTAGGCAGAATTTAAAATATATATTTGTTGAAGATGCAAAGTTAAAGACTGCAAAATCTTAACGTGAGTTTGCTTTTAAAACAGAAAAAAATTTGTTTCGTGAAAAAACTTAATTTTTTCTAGACCATTGATGTACTTTCATCTCTCTCTTCTTTTCACTAAAGCTCAGTGAAGAATTTTGGCAGTATAACACCTTCCAGTACTGGAGGAATCCTTTACCACCTATTGATCTGGCAGACATTGAAGATGTAAGTGAAGACAACCTGACAGAAACAGCACTTCAGGACAAGAATGAAGTTGTTGAGATTGATATGGAGTCCTGACAGAAGGAGCTGAAGAAATGGGTTTTTCTGAATTTGAGGAGACATCTCTAAGTGAATTTATGTATTCTTAAGGAAAAGAGTTATTTTCCATACTTGATGTGATATCATTCCCAAACCTGAAAAATGAGGAAAAGTTGTTTTAAAGATAAATGCCTGCAGTCACTACTATACCTCCCAGTAGGGATTTGTCAAGGATATAGTGCAGTTATAGGAGAAGTATTTTATGTATGCATTCTTAAGAAAAATTTATGTTTAGGTTCTAAATTTGAAGATACCTGATAAAAAGGAATTGTGACAGTTTTAGAAATAGATGGGAAACATTCAGATATTCCTCTTGTTGCACCAAAAAGTTAATTTGTGGTACATGAAATGAATATTGTTTTATAATAACTTATTAATAAAATGCTTTCTAATACATTTCATTGACTCTTCTTCGTTGAACAAATAGCTGACTTAAACATCAGTGCAAACTTAAAATGTGGGGGATTCTTTCTGAAACCTGGTATTGTTTTAAAAGAGCTTTCTAAATGTACAGTAGTGAAAATTTTAATTTGGTTAGGATGTTTGCATAACTTCCAATGTTTAACGTTTGTTAAACTTGACTTTGGGCAATCAAAGATGGATAAAGAACAAAGAGAAATGAGTAGGTGCTTCCCCCTTTTCCCAGGATAAGAGGAAAGAAATTTATCATATTTTCTTAATTTCTTGGTTTTGAATTGCTTTGAGGGCATGCTCTTTATTGCTTATTATTTTAGACTTGTACTTGTCAACACTGACAACACTCCAAATGGGCCCCACTCTTGAGAGATTCTCATATAATTGTTCTGAGGTGGGCTTTGGGTGTAGCTTTTTTTTTTTTTTTTTTTTGCGGTACGCGGGCCTCTCACTGCTGTGGCCTCTCCGGAGCACAGGCTCTGGACGCGCAGGCTTAGCGGCCGTGGCTCACGGGCCCAGCCGCTCCGCAGCATGTGGGATCTTCCCGGACCGGGGCACAAACCCATGTCCCCTGCATCGGCAGGCGAACTCTCAACCACTGCGCCACCAAGGAAGCCCATGGTGTAGCTATTTTTTTAAGCACCAGTCTTCCTTCCACCCATTCCTCAAATGAGCAGGCCAGTTCAAGAACCACTAGACTAATGATTGTTTTTCCTGTTTAAAGGAGATAACTAACCTGAGCTGAAGCACTGCCTCCTTAGTTAGCTTTGTTTTTATTTTGCTCTGTTGATGGCTTTGTTACAACTGAATTATTGTGTCATTATTACAGTTTCATTGTTAAAGTAAGCAATTTGTGTTTAAGTTAGTAACTAAGTTACTAATAAGTAAGTTAACTTTTGTATTGCATTCAGAATGTTGGCTTTGTAATTGACTAACTCATCTTGCTTGTATATTTTTTGTTGTTGTTAATGACATTAGATCCAAAATTTAGGAAAGATGATAAATGCCAATGAGAGAGAGAACCATCAATGTTTTGTGTGTACTGTAGGATTTAAGTATGGGTTGACATTAATAAGAATATTCTAGAACAGAAGACAAACTGTAATTAAGGGTTTGAAGTCAGTTCAAAGTCTTGGCCTGCCACTTTCTACCTGTGTAACATTAAGCAAGTTATTTTTCATCTCTAAGCTCCAGGTGCCTCACTGGTAAAATGAGAAACAATAAATAGTATCTACCTCAGACTATGTTTATTGTCAAGCAGTGTACTAAGTCCCTGCATCATCTTGTTTAATTCTCATAATGATCGTATGGGTACAAAAAACATAATTGGAATAAATGTGCTTCCTATAGTTGTACTTCATTCCACTTTAAATTGCTACTAGAAGTTTAAGAGTTGGGATTGAATAAATAGTAAGGAAAGCAGGCAGGCGTGGGGAAGAAGCAGTTAAAGTACTGTGGAAAGGATAAACTTTCTTCCTCCTTTCTCTTTGAACTGAGGATAGGAAGGTGTCCATTTTTTATTTTTGGAAGATGTCTATTTTTGTGCACTGCTCTTCCTAGTGGCCTGAACAGTGCCTGCCACATAGTAGTCAATAAATATTGCATGAACAAATGAATGGGTGTTCCTATTTGTTGATGGGAGGGTCATGCCAGCAATTTTAGACCATTTCCTGAAGATGAATATAGAAAAGGTTTGTTACAGAGATCAGTAGTAAAACATTGGAAATGTGCTAACTTTATTATATTTATTGTATAGTAACGTACGGACTAAGACATGTCCCCCAAATGAACAATAGGAGGTGGTTACTTTGACAAGTTTCATCGGACACCACATTGCAGTGTCTGAGTGAAGGAGATCCAAAGAGTAGCTTGGATGACTTTTTCAAGCATGTGTCAAAAAACATCAAAACCATAAGGTAGGACTTCCCTGGTGGCACAGTGGTTAAGAATCTGCCTGCCAGTGCAGGGGACACGGGTTTGATCCCTGGTCCAGGAAGATCCCACATGCCATGGAGCAACTAAGCCTGTGTGCCATAACTACTAAGCCTGCACTCTAGAGCCTGCAAGTCATAACTACTGAGCCCGTGTGCCGCAACTACTGAAGCCCACGGCCTAGAGCCTGAGTTCTGCAACAAGAGAAGCCACCGCAATGAGAAGCCTGCACACTGCAATGAAGAGTAGCCCCCGCTTGCCGCAACTAGAAAAAGCCTGCGTGCAGCAACGAAGACCCAACGCAGCCAGAAATAAATAAATAAAACAAAAACAAAAAAAATAAGGTAAAGATTCAGGGAAAACACTTGCTGTTAATATGTTAAAAGATTTAATATTTTTATGTAGGTGTATATATAAGTACAACGAAAACATTTACACATATATGTTTAATATACACATGCAGGGTGTGTGTGTGTATATATATACATACATATACAGAGAGATTTGAAATAATTTTGTCCTTTAAAAAAAAGTTGTTAGTAAGCTCAGGTAACTTGGCAAAATTGCATTGTGGATAAATTGAGATGGAAATTAAAAAGTAGGTTTTTCTTTTTCTTTTTTTTTAACTTGTATGCCCTTCACCCAGATTCCCTATTGTAATATCTTACATTATCACAGTATGATTATGAACATGAGGAAATTAGCATCAATATAATTCTATTATACTTTGATGATGACATGGAAAG